CACAGAAGCCTCTCGTGGTACAGCCGGTCCTCCAGGCTGCACAGGCAGTACAGCTTGTCCCCCTGGCGGACCGTCTTCAGCAGGTCGGGGAGCCCCTGATGGACCATGGCCATGGAGCCTGCCGACGAGGTAGCCTATGATGAACGCGGCGCACACCGCGAGGCACACTACCGAGGCGGTCTCCCAGAAGACCGAGGGACACTCCGAGGGTGCGCTCCGCAGCTGCTCCGGGCCGCACCTGTCCAGCTGTCGCTGCAGGACCTGAATCAGCTCTCGGTCGTGCTCTCCAGTGAAGGCGCACGTGCAGTGGCAATCCCTGTGGAGAGAAGTCCAAAGGTTGGCAGCGTACAGTCCTGTCGCAGCCCAATCTCGGACTGCAGGGGCGAGCCCGAGCGCGAGCCCTGCCATAACAAGCGAAGCTTCGAGCAGAAGCGATGGCTACAGAGCAAGGAAAGCGGACATCTGAAATGAACAATACCGTGCACTGCTATGGGGCCCTCTTGGGCTCCTCTTGGGCCGTCTTCGGGGCTTCTTCGTCCGTCATGGGGCTCTCTTGGGCCGTCGAGGCGCCATCTTGCGGGCCGCTGGGGAGACGGCCCAAGAGGCCCCCAAGACGGCCCCGAGACGGCCCAAGAGAGCCCCAAAACGGCCCAAGAGGCGCCCAAAGGCCCAGGAAGGGCCCAAGAGGGCGACCAAAAATTCAAAAATCAAGCTTTCCACCCCGACAGGGCCCCAGGCGGCCCCAAAAAGGCCCCAAGATGCCCCCAGCGGCCCCCAAGAGGTCCCAAGGAGGCCCCAAGGGGGTCCCAAAAGGCCCCCCAAAGACCCCGAGAGCGCCCAACACGGCCCCCAAGAGGCGCATCATGAGATCCCAATGACCACTCAACAAGCCTCTAACACACAACCCAAGCACGGTGGCGGGATGGCTGACGGAGAAAACCAACGGAAAAACACCACCACCGCAGCCGCTGTCGTCGTTGTCGTCGTCATCGTCGTCGACGTCGTCGTCGTCGTCGTGGTCGCCGCCGCCGTCGACATCGTCGTCGTCGCCGCCGCCACCGTCGACATCGTCGTCGTCGCAGTCGTGGTCGTCGTCCCCCCTTTGACTCCACCGCTGCTGGCGCGTGGCCGAATGTCCTGCTGCGACGGGCCTGGTCAACGCCAGCGCCGCGAGAGGCAGGAGGGGCAGGAGGAGGAGGAGGAGGAGGAGGAGGAGGGGGAGGAGAAGGAGGAGGAGGAGGAGTGGGAGAAAGGGGAAGAGGAGGGGAAGGGGGAGGAGGAGGAGGGGGAGAAGGGGGAGGAGAAGGAGGAGTGGGAGAAAGGGGAAGGAGGAGAAGTGGGAGAAAGGGGAAGAGGGGGGGAAGGGGGAACAAAAGCTAGCACGAGGACGAAGCGGGCCAGGGGCCGAAGGCCCTGCTGCAGAGGGCCTGCGCGGCACCGTCTCAGAAATCCACGCGTCTCTGAGATCCGATGTGCAGCGCGCGAGGTGGTCCAGCCCGTTTCTCTTCAGACATCATGGCAATTCTTGACGCTTCGCGAATCCCTACCAGTCAGCCCATCCAGAAAAGATGCCCAGGCGGCTTCATGTATTGTTGTGAGAGGTTCCTGGAGATCTCTTGGAGCCACCTTGGACCTCTGTTCGGGTCCTCGTGGCCCACTCTTGGGGTCCTCTTGGGGCTCTCTTGGGGCCTTTTCAGAGCCTTCTAGGGGCTCTTTACGAGAGTCGGGGGGGCCTCTCGGGGCCATCTTCGAAGCCAAGGCTGAAACAACGGGGCGGCAAACATTCAGGTCCCCCCCGTCTCCCCGTTGCGTTGGCCCTTTGAAATGCAAGGGTCAACATTAGAAGGCGAAGCGCAGCGAGCCTCAAACACGAGTGCGTATACATATATATATATATGTATAAAGACATACCTACCGATATACATATCCACATACAAACATACATACATACATACATCCATACATACATACATACATACATACATACATACATACATATATACATACATACACACACATACATACATACATACATACATACATACATACATACATACATACATACATACATACATACACACATACATACATACATACATACATTCATACATACAGACATACATCCATCCATCCATCCATCCATCCATACATACATACATACACGCATACACACAAACATACATACATACACACATACACACATACATACATACATACATACATACACGCGTATCTACACACACCTACATAACTACATATATGCCTACAAGCATACATACATGCATACACACATGCATATCTACATCCGTCTATCCATACGTGCATGCATACATACATGCATACAATCATGCATTCAACGATGTGTATGCACACATACATGTATGCGTCCGTCCATCCATCCACCCATAGATAAATGCGTGCATACACACATGCATACATACACACGTACACCCAGATAACCGTCCATACATACCTACAAACACACACTCATTCACATTCTTGCAGATAGACAGACGCTTGTGTACACTTACATACAGCTACATTCACACGCATATACATGTATCATCGATGCATGCACAAGCACATGCATCCACACCTACTTATATTACCACAAGCCAACACAACATTCCATACGTACATGCATGCATGCGTACATGCATGCAAACATACATACACAACCATACGTACACACAACTATACATGCATACAACTGCATTCAGCTACATACCTATACACATACACACATACATACATACATACACGCGTACACACACACTTGCATACCTGCCCACCTACATACATACATACGCACGTACACACAATCGTGCATATTTGCACACATATATTCATATAATACACATACATACACACAAACATACACATCTATATACATATGTTCACTACTGTATGAACACATACCTACACCCATCGAACTATAGACAGCTACGCACATACATACAATCAAACATACATACATACACATACTAACAGACCGACACACATACATATACAAAACTACTGCCACACATATGTACATACATATATATCTGTATATACATACGTGTATGCGTACATACGTACGTACATACATACTTACGTACACACATACACACATACCTACATACATACAACAGTACATAAACATCGATATCCATACACATATGCATACATACATATATGTATGTATATATATATATATATGCGCATGCATACACACAAAAATACACGCATGAGAAAAAGCGCGTTTCACGGGCACTTGCCTTGGGAACATTCGGCGGCGCGTTTCGAACCGGTGGGCGGGCCCCCCACCAGCACTCGGCTCCGTCGATCAAAACCAGGGGGACTCCCCTCCCCTTCAACCTCCCCCCTCCCGAACCCCGCCCCCCCCTTCCCCTCCCGAGGGAGGGGGGGGTTCAAACCCGCCCCCCCCCTCGGCGCCGGCGCCGGCGCCGGCGTTGGCGGCCGCCAGCAGCGCCGACGGTGGGGACGCAGCGACGATGACCAGAGGCAGCCGAAGGGGGGGCAGGGGTTCAAAACCCCTACCCCACCGCCTGGCGCGGACGTCCAGAGGGGTGGGGGGTGTTCAACCCGCCCCCTGGCACCGGCGCTGGTGCTGGCGGCGGCCAGCAGCGCCGGCGCTGGCGCCGACGACGGGGGGGACGCAGCGACGATTACCACCACCACCACCACCACGACCGCTTCAACCCACCACCACCACCGTTTCAACCCACCACCAGCACCGTTTCAACCCACCACACAACCACCACCACCACAGCCACCACCACCACCACCACCACAACCACCACCACCACAACTCACCATCACCACCACCACCACCACAAAATCCCACCACCCCTACCACCACCACCACCACAATCTACCACACCACCACCACCACCGCCACAACCACCACCACTACCAGCAGCACAACCCACCACCACCACCACAAACCACCACACCACCACCACCACCACCACCACAGCACCACAAACCACCGCCACCACAAACCCACCACCACCACCACAAACCACCACACACCACCACCACCACACCACCACAACCCACCACCACCACCACCACCACCACAAACCAACCACCAGCACACCACCACCAAACCACCATCACCACCACCACCACCACCACACACCACCACAACCATCACCACCACAACAAACCACCAAACCACCACCACCACTACAACGACCACCATCGCCACCACCACCCACCACAACCCACCACCACCACCATCACCGTCGTCCTCGTCGACGCTCCCCGCCGCCGCCGCCCGCCGCCGCAGGCGCCGGCGCCAGCCCAGAAAAGGAAATCGTCGTCCCAGCCGCCGCCGCCAGCCGCCGCGGGAGGAAGGGAGGGGGGGGGGGGAAGGGGTTCGAACCCCACCCCTCTCCGTCACAGGAGGGGGGGGGAGGGGGGGTTCGAACCCCCCCCCTCCATCCAGGGAGGGGGGGGTCCATCTCCAACCCCCCCCCTCCAAGCGACCACAGAACGCGCTCTTTCATACATGAATGTATACGTGCATACATCACTGCTTTGCACAGATCAATCAGATCCCATCAATAAACAACTGGGATCAAGCTCCGCACCCTGTGAAGTCCCGTCCCGTGGTTGATCAAGTCTCAGAACAGCGCCAGGTCGACTCGCAGTCCCCAAGCAAGATTTACTCCCCCTGACGTATGCTGTGCGGCTGTGCCGAACTGTAAAGAAAAGCCGCGCGGCGTGCATTCGGCCATGCTGGAAGGAAGTAGCAGCTGCGGGGTATCCCGCAAGCCAAAGCAAGCCACGAGATATCAAACGGGATCTAAAACCACATCGAGTGCAACCCACAAAACAGATGCAGAAGGGAGGATCGGAGAGCGAGGTGGGGAAGGGGGAGGTGAAGAGGAGCGTCACCAGAGGGTTGAGCGCCATTGCAAAGAGGAGGAGGAGGGAGGACGAGGGAGGGAGCACCAGTCTGTTCTCCCATTCCTCTCCCCAATGAGCTCCTGTGAGCTTGCCGGTGCCATAAGTGATGCTTGTGGTATCCTGCACCAGTCCCCTACCCATGCTGCAGCCACATCCTCATCGCCTTCGTCGGAAGTTGTTCCATTTACCGTTTCCATTATGCCACATTATGGTGATTATCCTGCTATGCTCCTCCCGATGCTCTCACAAGTCTTCGGTTGGCCCTCGGGGGACGCCAGCTCCTCATCATCCTCTTCCTCCTCATCATGCCAATCCTCCTCCTCCTCCTCCTCCTCCTCCTCATCCGCCTCCTCCTCCTCCTCCGCATCCGTCTCCTCCTCCTCCTCCTCCTCTTCCTCCTCCTCCTCCTCCTCCTCCTCCGCCATTGCCTCCTCCTCCTCGTCGTCCCCCTCCTCCTCGTCGTAGCCCTCCTCCTCCCGATTCCCGCAGGCCAGTCCCGAGGCCACACGCCGGCAGGCCAGTCCGCGTGGGGCGCATCGGGGCCGACTGGGGGCAGCGGCGCCCTCGGCCCTCGTGTGGAGAGGCTGAGGCGGCGGGCTCCGCGCGGGCGACGACGATGACGACGCCGCCGCCGACGACGACGACGACGACAACGACGACGCCGCCGCCGCCGCCGCCGACGACGACGACGACGACGACGACGACGTCGCCCCTGCAGGCGCCACTGGCACGAAAGCCGCTTCGGCGGCGGGCCGCTGCGCGCCTTGGGCCCCAGCGGCCGCGCCGACGAGGAGTTCGAGGGCGGCTCGGGGGAGGGCAGCCCCTGAGATCCTGGCGTTACATTTTTTTTGACAACGGGCGTTTCCCCTCGATTTCGGGCCCCAGGACCTTCACAAATCGATCCGGCTCGACACATGTCGCAAAACGTTTGGGTCCGGGAGTCCGGGCGTGATTTTTTGCGATGTTGCATGTTTTTGCCTCGTCGGATCTGAGGGGCGGTGGCCCTGCCGGCAGTCCCGCCGTGTCAGAGGCCGGTTCGCGACGGAGGGTGTTGGTCCATTCCTCGCGCTTCGCATATCCCCACCAACCCGTTCAGATGCGTGGCCCATGAGAGCTGACGGGAAAAGGGACGACGAGGCACATATAGTGAAACAAAGAGGGCAACCAGGGGAGTGGGGAGCCCAGCGGCCTGGCGATCCTTCCGAAAAAGGGCAGGGCTCGTCGTCGATGGGCCTGGCTGTCGAGGATCCTCAGGCCGCGTGCGAGGCAGCAAAGGCGGCGCTGAGAGCTGAGACCATCCAGGGTCTGTAGAAGAGGAACGGCATCAACGTAAACTTTCGATGATCCGCGCGGATTTCTTAGATCCGCGCTGTACCCCCCTTACTGGCGCGCACAGCGCGCCAGGGGCGGAGCCGAAGGCGCCGCGGGGGGGGGGGGGGCCCAGCGCGGATCCAAGAAATCCGCACGGAGCGCCGAAAATCTGTGTTTATGCAGCGATCTTTCCTCTTCGAGCCTGACCGCCAGCAGGACAAGGAAACGAGACGAGTCCACCTGCGGCCGCGCCGCGATCGAGGAGGTGATGGAGCACGTGCGGCGCGCTCCCGCGTCTGGGAGGCCCTCCCGACTGACAAGCGGCTGGCGGCCATGCGCAGCGCGGCCACGGGGGCGGCGGGGATGGAGGACCACTGGGCATGGGACGCAGAAGGACACACGAGTGCAATACGTCCTCCTCGGAGGCGCGCGCCCGACCTGAACAGGTGGCGCAAACATCTGGAAAAAGAAACGGCATAAGCATAAACTTCTGACGTTCCGTGCGGATTTCTCGGATCTGCGCTGGACCCGCCCTCCCTGGCGCGCGGAGCGCACCAGGGGCGGCGCCGGAGCGCTGGAGGCGCCGCCACGGGTGCCAGCGCCAAAAGTTGTAGTTGATGGTGTTGTTTCGCTTCTTCGACGCATGAGAACCCAACTGGCGGCCATGGTGGTGGATTGGTACGCGCGTCAAGGGCTGCCGCTGCGTCGAACTGTGGTGGCCAGGACGTGGCGGGCCTTCCTACCTCCCCTCCTCGGCGGGCGCGTTGGCAGGCTGTGCTGAACAGCGACCATCGACACCGACCTCCTGACTCCTGCTGCTTCTCCCCCCGTCTCCTGTTCATTCTCCTCGACATCGCAATTCCAACGCCTGCTGCCAACTCTGCGCCTCGCTTCCGAGGCAAAACATGTGCCCGTGCGACCCAACCCTTACTAAGACCATCGCGTTCTTCGCGTGCGTGCAAGTTCTACCTGTCTCGGGGCCTAACATACGCAGCGGAAAAAGGGCCGTGCCCAACGCGAACTGTGGATTTCGAAACCAACGCGCGCGTTGCTGAAGGCGCGATTTTGGGTTCGGGCTAGGATGAACAATACACAACTAAACGAAAAGGGCATACAAGCACTCTCTCTTTTTCTCACAAACACTCACGCACACACACACACACACGCACATAAACACACACATACACACATGCACACACGCACACACGCCCACACGCACACACGCACACACACATACACACACACACACGCACACACGCACACGCACACTTAAGCATACATCATCCCCTACCGTTATTCCCCAAGCCCCGCGCTCTTCACCAGCCGAAGGTCGCGAGGCCATATTTGGGGTGTCTTGGAACCCCGTGGGCCCGACTGAGGGGCCCCCCCTTGGGGCCCGCGCGTGGCCTGCCCCATTTGGCCCAATTGGTCCGTTTTGGGGGCCCCTTGGCCTTCGCGTCGCGGGGCCGTCTGGGGGCCTTCTCGGGGCATCTTGGGGAAGGAGAGAAAAAAAGAGAGAGAGAGAGGGAGAGAGAGAGAGAGAGAGAGAGGGAAAGAGACAGAGACAGAAAGAGAGAGAGAGAGAAGATAGAGACAGAAAATGTGAGAGAGAGAGAGAGAAATGTATATAGACAGAGAAATATGTATATATATAAATAGAGAGAGATAAATAAATAAATACAGAAAATAGAGAGACAATGCCTTCCATAGTTGTATAATACATATATATGTATATATATATATATATATATATATATATATATATATATATATATATCCATACATTCATACACACATACATACATACATAAAGAGAAGAGAGAGAGAGAGAGAGAGAGAGAGAGAGAGAGAGAGAGAGAAAAAAAAGAAAAGAAAAAAAAAGAGGGGATATAGAGAGAGAGAGAGAGAGAAAGAGAGAAAGAGAGAGAGAGAGAGAGAAAACACAAACAACAAGAGCGAGAGAGAGCGAGAGAGAGAGCGAAACAAAACATCAAACAACAAAAAACACAAATGGCCGCGGGGCAGCGAAGGGCACCGTTTCAAGCGGCATTGCGATGGCCTCTGGGGGCCACCAGCCCTTTGCCCACTCGCGCGCCTGTGGCCCAGAAAAGGCCAGCGACCCACTCGTTGGTTGGTTGGTTGGGTGGTCGGCTGGCTGCTCGTCGTCATCGTCATCGGCTGGCGTTCTTCCTCCCGTCCTGGCTGGCGCGCGCTGGGTTTGCTCTGTGCTCGGCCCTCCCCCCGCCCCTCTCTATTCCTCCTCTTCCTTTTTCTCCCCCCCCCCCCCCCAGCCCGCCCCCCCGCCGGTCCTTCCTCCTTCTCCCGCGCACGGCCGCAGCAGGGCGTAGATAGGAGGGGGGGAAATGTCGCCGGGATTGGGGCTGGGCGTATGGATGCCACAGGGAGGGGACAGACCGCTGAAACTACGACGGGGGCGACGAGGAAAATGCGGGGGGCGGGCGGGGGGGGCGGGCGCGAAGAGGAGGGCCACAAAACAGCAGCGGCAAAAGAGAGGCTGCAACGCAGATTTGTCTTCGCGGCGCTGGCGCCGCCACATATCCAAGCAACGAGCGAGGCCGTTCATACCTCATTCAGCTCGCCTCCTTCACCCGCTAGTCCCACCGGGCAAGGCAGAGGGGGGGCGCGTGAAAGCGGGGATTAAAAATCCTTCACCAACAGGGAGCAACGGGGAACGACAACTCGGCGATTGCAAAAGGAGCGGGCCATGGTGACAGATGCCATGTAAAGCAATTTCCCCACCTTCTCGAGCTTCCCTCGCCCAGCACTAGTCCTCGTAGTCAACGGCCCCATTCCTTCATCCCTGGCCGGCGCCCCCCCGCTTCCACTTCGCCCGACGCTATTCGTCGCCCATCCACCCCCTTGCCTCCCACCCGCGCCCATCACCTTTGTCGACCAATTCTTGCCGAAGTGCAGCCTGGCGCGGCAGTCGTGCCCGGCGCGCGCCGCCGCCCTCATCGCTGTCGCCGTTCTCCTCGTCATTGCCTCCTCCTCCCTGGCGCCTATTGCTGCCTCCTTTTTCCTCGCGCCCCCCGAGCATGGCGAGGGCGAGGTTGTTGTCCCCGGCCCGACTCTGGAACGCTTCCGCGTCGTCTTCGGCCCCCTCGCCTGGCGCGCCAGGCCCAGCATGCCCGCGCCCGCCAGCATGCCCGCGCCCATCAGCCAGGCCCAGCATGCCCAGCACGCCCGCGCGCGGGCGGCCGCCCCTGCGCCCGTTTCTGGGGGGCTTGCCGACTGCATTCGGCCTGGGGTTAGTTCGTCGGCGATGGCAGCTATGATTCAGAAGGGCGGCGACATCTTGCTGCCAGCAAGCCTGTAGTTGTTGCTCTCATCGATGTCTGCGCGCGCGGGGGCGGCGTCCACGCGGTCGAGAGCATCCGCAGCTGCGCCGCGCATGGAGGGGGGGGGGCGGGCTACGGGTGCGAAGCGCGATTGGATTCTGGACGAGCGAATCTGACCCAGCAAAAGAAGGAAACTCTCTCGCTTGGTTGGGGCGTTGGAGCGGTAGGGGGCAAGGGGGGGCCGGCGGTTCAGGATATCATTCCACTGGGCAAGAACCGCTCGAGATGCCTACTCCACGGGGACCTCGGCGAATCAGCCGTCGCCCTCACGACGCAGCATGCGCCCCGCATGCCCTTGAGTTTGGACCAACTGATCACGCGCCGGGCGCCCTCATTCCCTGACTCCTCCACGACGCCGCGCGACGTCCACAAGTCTGACAAGTTTGATTCTGAACGTTGCCCTGGCGGCGCTCCGTTACTCCGCGGACCCCCCCGCCCCCGCCCGCCCCT